GTAATTATTAGAAAATAAAACAACAGGTTGCTAACGATGGCTTATAGTGAACTAAACTTTATTTCAAGAGTTACAACAGATTACCTACATTAAGCGATCACACATTGCACTCGATAGATGGCGTTACTAGTTTCATTTGATGTAACTATTAATTATAACACCCCCACTACATCACATGAAACTGTGTTTTTTTTTTTTTTTTTTTTTTTAAACTAACAAGTCCCAAGGCTTCAATACATTGATAATGCTTTACTGCACCAAGTGCCTTTGTAAGAACATCAGCTGGCATATCGTTAGTACACATATACTTAATATTTATTACATTATTACTGACAGCATCTCTTAGAAAATGATAACGGATGTCAATGTGTTTACTTTTTCTATGTAAAGCATGATTACTAATAAATTTTTGAGCACTCTGGCTATCATTGTATAAGGTAATAGGACATACATCTTGATTAGTAACTTCAGACAACAGTACTCTCAAATACATAGACTCTTTACATGCCTCTGCCATTGACATGTATTCGGCTTCCATACTCGAAAGAGCCACAGTCTTTTGTTTTCTGCTTTCCCATGATATGACACCCTCTGACATCATAAAGCAATACCCTGTATATGATTTCCGGTCAATACCATTATTAGCCCAGTCGGCATCAGCAAATCCCACCAATTCAGAGTTTCCTTTTACATACCTTATATAATAATGTTTAGTCCTTTTTAAATATCTGAGTATGCGTTTAGCATAATTCCAATGAGTATAAGTATGACAAGAATTAAATTGACTTAAAAAACTAACACTAAAAGCTATGTCGGGCCTTGTTAACACAGACAAATACATGAGACTTCCTATTAACTGTTGATATGGAATATCAGTATCATTATCATTTTTGTCTATATTTAGCTTTGACTCCATAGGTGTATTAGCCTCTTTACAATTTAACATGTTAAATTTAATTAACAATTGATCAATGTATTGTTCCTGATCTAAAGTACAAAAATTATTCTTGCTATCAATATTTACTCTCATTCCCAAGCATTGCTTTACCTGTCCAAGATTTTTAATTTGAAATTTAGAACTCAATACTGAAATTAAATTATCTGTCTCTACAATTTGAATACACAAAAAAATCATCCACATATAAAGCAATAATAACTTTCACATTATCATGAAATTTTGTGAATAGACACGGTTCTATATCACTTCTTTTAAAGCCTAATTCTGTCAAACACTGATCAACTTTTTCATACCATGATCTTGACGACTGTTTCAGTCCGTAAATAGCTCTATTTAATTTAACAATTTTTCTGTCATTATTACTATCTAAATCAACTTGTGGATAAGCCATATAAATATCCTCTTTCAAAATACCATTCAAGAAAGCTGTTTTAACATCTAAGTGAGTTATATTAAAACCTAATTGTACAGAAAGTGCAAACAACAATTTTAAGGTACAGTGACGCACTACAGGTGAAAATGTCTCGTCATAGTCTATTCCTGGTTTCTGTGTGAAGCCCTTTGCCACTAAACGAGCACAATATCGAATACTGTTATCACTACCTAATTTTCTTTTATAAACCCATTTACACTGCACTAACGTTTTTCCTTGAGGCACTTCATTCACCACTACCCAGGCATCATTCTCTTCAAATGCCTGAAGTTCCTCTTCCATCGCAGAAATCCAATTTTCTTTGTCGGGGCTTCGTAGAGCTTCTTGGACACTAACTGGATCACTTTGATTCTCAGCATTCAACTGTATGCACAAGTCTGAGTAACCATAACGCTGTGGTCGTCTCCTGATTCTCTTTGGTTCTTGTGGGGTTGGAATCTCGTCTACATTCTGCAATATAGAGTTATTAGTCTGGTCAGTATTATCCGCCTGGTTAGTATCGTTTTCAGGTTCTGTCCTAGTAACTATATCCACAGACTCATCTATTTCACTCTTAACTTGTTGCGTTTCTGAGATTTCCCCCACTGAAACTGAAATCTTATCATCTATCTTACTTATCAAGTTTTCTTGGATTATTACATCCCTGCTCACAGACACACACTTCTTATTTGGGTCGTAAATTCTATACCCTTTGACGTTTTCAGCATAACCAACCAGAATATGTGGTTTAGACTTAGTATCCCACTTAAGTCTCTTTTCCTTAGGGATATGCACCATGACCTGACTCCCAAAGATCCGGATGTGACTAAGATCTGGTTTACTATTGGTCCAAAGCTCAAACGGTGTCATGTTCTGTAATCCCGATGCCGGTGACCTATTCCTAAGGTAAACCGCTGTATTTACAGCCTCAGCCCTAAAACTTTTGTCTAGTCCAGCATCAAACAACATGCAACGAGACCTTTCTACCAAAGTTCTGTTCATGCGTTCACTAACTGCATTTTGTTCTGGGGTATATGTGTTGGTCTTTTGATGTACTATACCAGCTTCAGCCGAGTGACTATCAAACAACGCATTGCAGAATTCCAAACCATTATCAGTTCGAAATGTTTTAATTTTTTTATTCTGTTGATTCTCAACTAAAGCCCTGAATTCCTTAAAATATTTAAATACTTGGTTCTTGGCCTTCAAAAAATAAACAAAGGTCATGCGTGTGTGGTCATCTACAAAAATTAGAAAATACCTGCAGCCACCAATCGAAGTCATCTCCATGGGTCCGCACACATCTGCATGAATAATATTCAGTACTTCACTGCTTCTCATGCTCACATGGTTGAATGGTAACCGTGACTGTTTCCCTTGACAGCACACAACACATGTACTTTTATCAATAACTGCTTTATCTTTTAAGTCAATACCCACAACTGCACCTTCTTTCATTTTATTAAGGTCACTGCTATTCAAATGTCCCATTCTTCGATGCCATAACTCGCTCTTCATACTATCAGATATCGTAAACAAACAGTCATGTCTCTCTTCCACATTAAGTTTGTAAACACCATCAACTAATCTGGCCTCTCCAACCAGTTGATTTCTACTGTTATAGATATAGCAACTATTTTTCCGAAAATCAACTCTGTTTTCATTTTGTATCAATTTACTCACTGATATCAAGTTCGTAGCAACACTAGGCACACATAACACGTCCTTTACCGTGATGGAATTTTTGCCTTTCGACGTGATTGTAACAATATCAACATCACCCGAGCATAACACAGGCATCACTCCTTTATTAGCCGCTGTAATCTCCTTTATACTCGTGTTTTCTGATGTGTTCCGAATATTGTTTACATTTGACGTGATATGCACACTCGCACCGGAATCTAAATACCAATCATTCCTCCTGAAGTTTCCGCTTAAAAACACGGCTGAAAAAGCATTTGAACTGTTCGTTTTTGTATTTTGAACTTGTGTACACTTATTCTTGTAATGTCCGATCTGTTTACAACGATAACACTTGATGACTTTGTTTCTGTTGTTGTTGACATTTGACGATTCGCCATCTTTGAACGAGTGTACTGTTTTATTGAAAGGCTTCATTTTTGATTGACATGCTGGCGCCCTCTAGTGTATAATGCAGTTTCCGTCGAATCTTCACTTCCAGACATGTCTAATAATTTTGATTTAACGACATCCGCCGTAATGGCGATCCCTGAATGTTCGATGGCCATAAGCATTGGAAAATATTTTTCAGGCAATCCCGCCAGCATTAGACAGCCAATCCACTCGTCATTCACCAAAAAACCAGTTCTTGATAATTTCTGCCCCGTTTCAATAATTTGAGTAATGTAACTTGTCATAGAATCGGAAGTTTCGAGACGTATTGATATTAAAGTCCTTAATAACATAATTCTTCTCGAAAAACCGGAGTCGTCAAACATCTGTTGTAATTTCTGCCATAGTTCCTTAGTAGTGTTAGCGCTCTTAATATGTACATACAACGACGGATCTACAGTCAGGATCAACTTGGCTTTCGTCATGGCGTCCTCCGCCATGTTGGCGCCAACTCCTTCAGTCTTGAGAAAATTTAGCTTTCCTTCGAGTACTAACAGATTTTCGGCAGCAAACGCCCAATCACTATAATTTTCTCGACCTTTTAGTTTCGGCACATTTGCAATAAACGAGTTCGTATTAAAAGCCATGTCTGTTGATCACACCCGCGGCGTTCTGTGCAACCACGTGCAACACAAGATCAAAGTTCACTACAGTGAATATAATGTACGCAATCTTCAACTGTGCACTCACTATTCCTACGCTAACTAACTGAAACTATAACTTTACAACTTTAACTGACTTTGAACTAAAATGGGTCTGGGCCTATAACCTATTAGAAAATAAAACAACAGGTTGCTAACGATGGCTTATAGTGAACTAAACTTTATTTCAAGAGTTACAACAGATTACCTACATTAAGCGATCACACATTGCACTCGATAGATGGCGTTACTAGTTTCATTTGATGTAACTATTAATTTTAACAGTAATATAATGCTGAATACCTTGCAGGTGACATCTGGGGCGGTATACTATGGGGATCTTGTGTCAACTAGGGTGAATTTCCGTGCGTTTAGGCGATTCGTTACGGACCTTAGATTTTTTGTTTGTTGTATTCTCAAGCTACATAGTGTATTAGATATGGTTTATGTATTAGATAATGGAAATAAATATTAGGTAGTGGGACACCACAGCCGACTTTTTTTTAATCCTCAACTATCCTGACAGGTATAACCTTGCCCTTGTGACCCCTAAGGGGTGAAGATACGTTACAATATGGCGCCCGAACAGGGACGTTAGTGGTGTGAGCCACCTTATTTTTAAATATTTTGGTTCCTTTACTGGTCAATTTTGCTCAGAAAAGAGTTGGTCGAGTTAAGTGTTTTACTTATTACCTACCATGTATTTTGTTTACTACTAAGTATTACCTTATATTGTACTTAGTTAGTGATCTGATATTATTATTTAACCTTACTATATTTTGTTAGGCTTGGTCGATTTAATTGTTACTCCTTTCACATTTTACCTACTTTAAACTTTTAATTACTGTCTTTCACTATGGAGGAAAGACCAATTGCTTTTAATCTCTTACATAAGGATGAGTTGGAGTATGAAGTAATTATTCGTGGAGATAAACCTACTTATAACGTTTCTGCTTTAAGGGCCCAGGTCCGTTCTTTAAATAAAGATATACCTACCGATGAAATAGCTACCTGTGATCTTGATGTTAATTCAGAGATTGGTACCATTAAAAATAAACTTGAATCTTTACATACTTTGTGTTCTGATGCTGCATATAAACCGCCTTCTATAAGAGTATTAAACCGTATCCAAGCCTTATCTCATCATTTATATCATCGTTTGAGCCGCTTATCTCCGGATGGTGACCAGATGCTTACCGTTAAGACTTTTGCTGATCGCTTAAATAAAATGTTACTTAAGTGTGATAATATTCTACATAATTTTAAAAGTAGTGCCGTCGCCACTACCCAACCTAACCCTACCGCGGACGAGCTGCCTAGATTGGATTCTTATGATAGATATTCTGCCATACATACTCTTAACTTAAAATTTAACGGAAAGACTTGTGTTAAAGCTTTTATTCAACGTTTGGAAGAACTGTGTCAATAGCGTAGAATTTCTGATGTTAAACTTTTTAATTCATCATCTGAATTATTTTCTGATGAAGCTCTTTATTGGTATCGAGGTATACGGTCTCAAGTACAAGACTGGAATAATTTAAAGAAATTATTATTAGAAGAATACATACCCTTTGATTTTGATCATCGATTAATGAAAGAAATTAGAGAAAGAACTCAAGGTCCTGATGAAAATATTATGAATTACTTCAGTATTATGCAAAACTACTTTACTAGATTATCTAAACCGTTAACAGATAAAAAAAAACTAGACATAGTGTTATTTAATATTCGTCCATTTTATACTTCTCAATTAGCTTTAGATCCTATCGATACTTGGTCTGCACTAAAGCAGAAATGCAGGCTTCTAGAGAGTGCTAAACTACGCTCGGAATTATTCACCAAACCCCCTAAAAATAATTCATCTTGTCTTGCTCCCGATCTTTCTTATAAAGGTCAGCGTACCACTAAGGTGCACTCGGTGGAAACTACTATTAATGAAACTTTTTTGTGTTCGCTGTCGTACGAACGGCCATAATTCAAGATCTTTTAAGGCTCCTTTTACTCTAGTGTGTTATTGTTGTGGCAAGAAGGAAGTTACGTTTAAAACTTGTCCTAAGTGTTCCCCTAGCCTACCTACTACTTCGGTCTCAAAAAACGGCAAACAGTGAATCAACAATTGGGCAAATCTAATACTACTATTATAAATACTACTAAAGATAATCGTTATATTACCCGTACGAGTTACCCTTCTACTAAAAACTACACTACTAAGGATGACTGGCAAGACTGGTTAAAATTTGTAAAAGAATTTCTTGCTTCTTCTACGAAAACATTGTTGGTTCACGAAGTACCTAGTGCTAAATGCCCATATTTAACTATTAAAGTACATGATCTGGAATTCAGAGGTCTCTTGGATTCTGGTTCAGAAATTTCTATTATTGGTGGTGATGCTATATCTTATTTTCGGGATTTAGTTACCATTCATCCGTCCTTGGATTTACATAGTATTAAAACTGCTAACGGATCTACCTCACCTGTCACCGGTTATATCTTTTTACCAGTTACAGCATTTGGAAGGTTCGGTATTGTAAAATTCTATATTTACGTGTTACTACGGAATTATTATTTGGTATTAACTTTTGAAAGGAATTTAATATTGCCCCCGATATTCTGTCATTATTACCTGACAAGGAATACTTCTCTTTGTCAGAACCTGTTAAAACTATTGCAACCTCTGAACGATGGTTACGCGATTTTGATTCTCTCTTGGAACCAGAAAGGAAACAAGCCGAGGACATTCATTCGAGACCATTAGGCAGTTCGAAGAAATTTCTGCGGAGAAGAAAGGTCTCGGTCGTACTCATTTAGTTTCCCATAAGATCGACACTGGCGATCATTCCCCTATTCAACAACGCTACTACCCCATATCTCCTGAAAGGCTAATCGAATTAAATACACATCTAGATCAAATGTTACAGGATGATGTTGTAGAACCTAGTAACAGCGCTTGGAATAATCCTGTTACCTTGGCACCGAAATCGTATGGTTCACTTCGTTTTTGTTTAGATAGTAGAAAACTAAATGAAATTTCAAAACATGATGCTTACCCTTTACCATATATTAATCAAATTCTAGATAAATTACGTGACGCTAAATACCTATCTTCTATCGATCTAAAATCTGCATATTTTCAAGTACCTCTTGATTCTCTCGAATCCCGTGAAAAAACTGCGTTCACCGTTCCTGGTCGTGGTTTATTTCGTTTTAAGGTTATGTGTTTTGGCCTGACGTCGGCGCCAGCCACTCAACAACGTTTAATAGATCGTTTATTCGGCCCTGAATTTGGTAATAACCTATTTATCTATTTAGATGACATAATAGTCTCGACTTCTAATTTCCAAGATCATATTAAACTGCTACTTAAAGTTAAAGAAAAATTACATGGCGCTAACTTACCTATTAACATTGATAAATGTCAATTCTTCCGTAAACAACTAAAATACTTAGGTCATGTCGTTGACGAATATGGTCTGCGAATAGACCCTGATAAAGTTAAAGCTCTAGTTAATTTTCCTACGCCCACATCTCGTCGGGAAGTGAAACGGTTTCTCGGAACTGCTTCGTACTACCGTCGTTTTATTAGAATTTCAGCCATCGTGTGGGTCCTCTTAACGCTCTTACTTCTACCAGGAAGGGTACTCCCCCTTTTCATTGGTCTCCAGAATGCTGAATCCTCTTTTAAAGATTTAAAACTTGCCTTAACTACGGCTCCTGTTTTAGCTACCAATGATTTTACTCAGGAATTCGCTGTCCATTGTGACGCTTCTGATTTTGGTATTGGCGGAACTTTAACCCAAACTATTAATGGGGAGGAACATCCCATTGCGTACTATAGTCGTTCTCTTTCTCCTACTGAACGTAATTATTCGGTTACTGAGCGTGAAGCTCTGGCTGTAGTAAATGTTGTTGAACATTTTCGTCCTTATTTGGAAGGCCGCACACCTTTTCGTGTAATCACTGATCACGCTAGCTTAAAGTGGTTATTGAATCTCAAGAATCCAACTGGCCGTTTAACCAGGTGGGGCTTTAGACTATCCCCGTATAGTTTTATAATTGAACATCGTACCAGATACTCGAAGATCACGTATTTTTAACTCATGGAATACCCCAAACCATTATTTCAGATAATGGCTCCCAGTTTGTTGGCTTGGAAGTCCAAGCTCTTTATTCTAAATATAATATACCTCAAATACATTTGGGACCAGTTTACTGTCCTCAAGTTAATATGGTTGAAAGATATAGTCGTACTATAATTACCGCGCTGTCCTCTTATGTTGAACAAGATCATCGCACTTGGGATGTTAATATTCCCAAGATTCAATTCGCTCTTAATACCGCAGTAAATGAGTCTACTTCGTATTCTACTTTTAAGCTTGTTCATGGCAGAGAAGCTGTGACAGACGTCAGTATCTATCCTCCTGCTGGAGACTTAAATGAGCTTATCATTGTACCGCGTGACAATTATGCAAATGGTTTAGGATATCTTCATGATATATTTGTCCGTGTTTTAACATGTCATGGGCCTTACGCAGCATGCCTTTAGGCATGCTGCGTAAGGCCCATGACCGTAATATTAGTTACTGTAATAAGAAACGCCGCGACGTTTCATTTAACGTCGGTGATTATGTCTGGAAGAGGACTTACGTCCAAAGTGCCGGCTATCGGTATTTCTCTTCTAAACTAGCCCCGAAATATGAGCGGTGCAAAATTGTTAAAAAATTGTCTGCTTTAGTTTACATACGCGAACGACCAAGGAAAATATCTTCGACGTTGGCATATCAAAGATTTCAAATAGGTTAGCTACTTTAGATGACCCAAATAACTTTTATTCTGAATCTCTACACTTACTTATTCATAATCTACCTCGTATTCTAAGCTGGAGGACCAGCTTGAATTTTCCTCGCTACGGAGTAAAATTCCCGGGGGCGAAGGGGGTGATTGTAACGTCGTATTTTAAAAGGACAATTCCATTTTATTTATGATATTTTATCGAATGCGATTTCGTGTATAAATACGGGAAAATCGATTAGTCGATGTCAATAATCGCTTCAATCAACGGATGACACCGTTCATCCCAACCCTATGATATACGTCAGATGAACTCTTGCCGGAGCGAAGACGGCGAGGAGCCTTCTTTTTCGAAGAGTGGATACAGTGGACGTTCGGTCCCGATAATCTGGGGAGGACCTCCAGAAATGCATCGCCTCGGATGCTGAGGCGTCACCCGCCTTAGATACCAAATATTAACAGGAAAAACCCGAAAGGTTTTTTTTTACTCTTGTGTAGTGCTCCCGCATACCGTTTCACGTTTTTTTTCTTTTTCGTTTCGGTACCATCCCCTACTCTAATCCGCTACTTAAATATAAACTTCCTCCGATGGTCACCGCCTGGATAATGATAACCTCCTGATTTGATACATTACCCTTACTATTTAAACCTAATTACCTACCTATTTGTACTGGCTGCTGATACCTCTGGTGCTCCGAGGACTCCGAGCATCTACCAACATTACCCTCTACAAATTGCTTCCGACTGAGGACGCCTGGAAACCAGGGCCCATATATATACTCAGGAAACGCTGAGGCGGTGCCTCACCTATGGTCTGCCCCGCCGGGTAAACGACATTGAAGGTACCGGATCACCTAATACCGGTGTTCATCAGCTCCTCTAGGCTGTGGCCACCCGGTATCCGAAGTTCCATTTTCTTTTTTTCTTTTGTGTTTTAATATAAGTAATACCAAAGGACTGCATTTAATTCGACCAAGCTCCACCACTTACCGTCTTAAGCATAGTAAATAGAGATTTAAGTGACTAGTTACAATACTTTAACTCTTGACACCAATTTCTCTTTCAATTTTGTTTGTTTATTGTTCAGAGAGGTCGTTACGGACCTGAGGTTTTTTTTTTGTTGTATTCTCAAGCTACATAGTGTATTAGATATGGTTTATGTATTAGATAATGGAAATAAATATTAGGTAGTGGGACACCACAGCCGACTCCTTTTTTTTTTTTTTTTTTTTAACGTGTGGAAATCCCCTCGGACCGTCACCCCGCCGGGGCTCTCGATCGGCGGGGCGGTGTGTCGGACTCGAACCGACTAAAACCACACGGTGTGCCCTCTTTGCGCTTCCAGTTTAGGAGGGGTCCAGGTAGTTATCGCCTTCTGGACATCTCCCAGCGCCGGCCCGCTCCTGGTGCGGGCTCCGTATCCAGGACCTCTCTTTTTAGGCGACGTCCGGCACACGCGGACGCCGCCCCCTCGCGGCTGGCCAAACTAATGCGGGTGGAGGGGAGAACCCATCCCGTCCACCCGCGGCCACACTCAGGGCGGCATGAGGCGCAGGTAAGCGCGCCTCCGCCGCCCGGCGGCGGATCGGGTCCGAGTGGAGGTCGCCCTCCCGGTGTAGCCGCTTTTCTTATCAGGCGGAC